GTGTGTGTGTGTGTGTGTGTGTGTGTGTGTGTGTGTGTGTGTGTCTGTGTGTCTGTGTGTGTGTGTGTGTGTATGTTTAAGCAATGAAAGGAGGAAGAGAACTATCAGAGTATGGAGAAGGAGAGGTGATGGGGGTACAATAGAGGCTATTGAAATATACAGAACAGAAAATCAATTAAAAACATCAATTAATTAACAACTACAAACTCCGGCCATGAGGTAGGGAGGGAGATCCATATCCTGGCGGAAGTTGGAGAAAGCAGAATGAGGAGAAAGAAAATGGAGAAGATGGATGAGGGAAGGAATAAAAACAAAATATCATAATTTTGTAGGAAAATCTTACAATGAAACTCCAACTTTAACAAAAATTAATAAAATGTTTTTTTTTTCTGGTAATCTGTGAATTCTGAGACCGTGTAGATGTATTGAAATTGTGCCATACTTACATTCTTGAGACCTCTCCTGCTTCTCTGACCCAGTGTCTCTGCGTTTTTATTTTACATTTTATTTATTTTTGAATATATATAACACGTGTCTTGAGCAGATCCGTTTCTCACTCTCCTTTCCATCTTCTCCCAGGGTGCACACCGCCCGCCCAACTTCATGTCTTCTTTTTGTGGTTTGTAATTTGCTAATTGATGTTTTGAACCCACTGAGTTCCAATAGTGCATGGACTTGGAGTCATCCACTGGGGAATGGAAATATTATCAATGTCACGTTTCTTTACTTTAAAATTTATTTATTTAATTTATTTATTTTACATAACCCATGGTCACATTTCTAAAGAAAAAATGGTTCTCTCTCCCTCAGCAGCTGCTTCAGCGTCCTCCCTCCCTCAACTTCCAACAGCTCCTCAGCTGGCAATTTTTAGCTGGTTTGACCCCATGCAAGTCTCTTGGAGGTAACCGCAGCTGTTTTGAGTTCATGCTTGCAACAGCCATGCCATGTCCACAGGACAGCATTTCACGGTACCCCTCATCTTCTGGCTCTCACATTCTTCCACGCCCCATCATTCCTCGATGGTCCCTAAGCCCGGGGTGGGAGGGTTGATTCAGGTGTCCTTTTCACAGCGGAACACGGACAGTCATGACTCTTACAGCACTTCCAACAGTAATGCATCTCTGATCAGCCACAATAAGGAGCTTCTCTGAGCAAGACTAGGAGAAGCGCGAATCTATGGACAGAACCAGAAATATTTAGAAGGCAGTTTGACATCATGACTATTTAGAAAAACATCCTTAGGTTCTCCCCAGGGGCCTGTGACTTCTCTAGCCATGGGTTTAAAATGCCAGGCATGGGTACTCCTGTGCTGCTGGCCTCACACGCAATGGAAAGAGTGGTCGTGCCCCCGCCGCTGCACCAGCAGCTCCTCCTGCCTGCCAGGCCCTATTGCAGCACGGGTATCTAGTTCTTGATGTGACCACCCATATCTCTCTTTCCCTCTGCTTTGTATGCTTTAGAGACCTTTCCTGGCTACTCCTGTTCTTTGTAGCTTCTTGCTTGGGAAAGAGTTTTGGTTTCTTGGCTCTGTTTCCTTCTGCTTTTCCAACACTGTGATAGAATTTTACAGAAGACCTCATTTTTTTTTTTTTTTTTTTTTTTTTTTTTCTATCTCAGGCTGGGGCGGGCGGGGCTGGGAGTGCTGCTGCTGAACTTGCAGCCTGGGCTCATTGCGCCATCTGGAGGAGAGACAAGAAAGGCCCCCGTTACTTAGCTTACAAAAATTTGGGGGCTCCTCCTGACCTATAGGGATGTCCATGGACACACAAATAGGAGAGTGCTTGACAATAGTCTCTAGAGGAAAGAAAGGGTTCTTCAAAGCCGATGTTGAATGAGATTCAGGTGTACAGAGGAAGGAAACAGGGCTGGCAAGAAGGAGAGCAGAGGCCCTGGAATGTGAAAGGTGTATTTAAAAGTTGATTGTGTCCCTTGAAAACTTTCTTATGTGTTTGGTTCTGTGTTATATACTGGAGATTCAACTTGAAAAACATAGGTGTCACCCTTGCGTTAGTGAAGTGGACTGTCACCCAGTGTGGTAAGAGATCACTAACTAGACAATTGTAAGAGTGATGAGAAGTGTTTCTTGGATGCATAGTGACTACAGATAAACAAACGTACCTGGCTGTGATACTTGGCTGGACATATTTTCTCTTGAGGTGTAGTTCTGTGCGATTCACTTGTCTAACATGCCCAAAGCCCTAGGTTTGATCTCAAGAATCCCTTGATCCTTTCATTTTAAACTAGTGTGTACCACCAAGCTACAACCCAAGCTCCAAAGATATGGATGGATAGATAGAGGTGCTCCCCACAGGCTCATGGGTTCAAACACTTGGTCTATGGCTGGTGATGCTGTTTCTGTGAGGGTGTAGAAATTTTGGACCTACCTAGAAGAAATGGACTATTCAGGGTAGGGTAGACCTTGAGGGCTATAGTCTATTTTTACTTTCTGTTTTCTCTGCTTCCCTTGTGTATATCTGCTGAGATAGAAACAAAGAAGATAGCAAGCTCCTGAAATTCCAGGCACCACTGTACCTTCCCTGACACAAAGAACCCTATTATTTTAAATTATGAACAAAATTATACCTCTCATTTGAGGTACTCCTGTTAGATATTCAGTCACAGCAGTGAGAAGACTAAATTATACCCTTGGTGAGCCTCAGCTAACTTTACCATCAGAAGTAAACTCACTTGTGTTTAACTGTCCTCACATGCTGGAGCCTATCTAGTATGAGTAAAAGAACGATACACGGAACCAGGAAAGCATATTCCAGAGAAGGCTCTCTGTGAAAGAAGACAAGTGCAGGACTTCTCAAGCAGCAGGCTGAGGAGTACTTGAATAAAGGGACACTCAAATCAGCATAAGCAGAGGCAACATTTTATTGACTTAGTAAACAAGACAGCTCAAGTCACTACTAAATCAAGATTCCTAAGAAGTATCTTTGGAGTCATAGTTCTATATTTGATATCCTTTTTTGAATCCATAAAGTCCTGTTTGTGAGAATATAGTGCTATTACAAGATGATTTTAGGCTTATATGATTTGTAGAAACCATGATTTCAGGAAGAAATTGTTTCCTAACTATGTTTTTGTGACTCAGTAGAAAATGGCAGTGATTGGCTGGTCTACTTCAATCTGTGAGCATATGTCGGAAAGTTACGGGTCCAGCAAGTCGAAAGCTGTGATTGATCACCCATGGATTTATGCCTACTTTTGTGATGGGGGTTAGGTGCTCTTAGTTGACAGCCCATTTCTGTCATGTAGAAATGAAAGTCAGTTCTCACAGAAAATTCCACAAAACAGATGAAAGTATAAAGAATTCCTCTCTCTCTATATATATATATTCCTCCTTTAGCATACATTGGGTTCCTGTCACTACAAAGAGAACCGCTGTGACAGAACACACTTTCAGATAAGGGCAGTCGAGCTGACACTGATGATCCATTTTACTCATTTATTAGTTTTCATCTTTCGTGTGTATGAACATAGGGTGCACGCATGTGTAATGTATGTACTGTGTCTGTGCGCGAGTGTGTGTATGTGTGTATACGGATGTGGATTGCAGAGGTTGATGCCAGGAATCTTTCTCATCTCTCTTCAATCGCCATTCTTTAAGGCAGAGTCTCCCAGTTCAGCCCAGAGCTTGCCCGAGAAGGGAGTTTTGATATCCCACCTGCTCTGAGGATCCCCTCTCTCTGCCTGCCAAAACTGAGATTACAGCTGGGCCACTGCCTCACGTCTGACACTTCTGTGGGCTCAGGGGATCCCACTCTGATCCTCTTGCTTGTGTGGTAAGTGTTTTAACTGCTGAACCATCTCCTCGGCCCCTAATGATCTATTTTAAATTCTTGCTTTATCATTCCTTGGTCACTTTGAAATGTAGGTTTCTTCACACGTCCTGAAAGATGCATTTATGTACATAGTTTAGCAATCTTCATGCACGATGAGGTTTCAGAGATACTGATACTTCAATGCAGAAATCTAGCATAAGTTTCTGACCTCGAACTGCAGCATATCTTGCCTAGATTTCATAGTTCGTATGGCAAAACCAATTTTTACTTTGTCAGCCTTGGTCTATCTCCGATAGTAATATAAACTTCTTTTTTTAAGATAAGAGATACTATTTTCAGCAAAGCATTCTGTTCTTTTTCAAGGAAGTAGTTCTGATATTTGGTAGGCTGTGTGGCCACTGTGTGGCAGAGGTGAGGTGTCTGTGGTAAAATCCACATGCTGAGCATAGAGAAATTCTATGCTGAGGGAATAATTCTCAGTAATATTGTAAATACATATGTGTATTCATATATATGAATCAGTATCCCCCACTGCCTTAATGGAATATATCTCCATGAAAAAATATATATCAGCCTGTTACACAAATGGAATAGATCTCCATATACGTGTGTGTGTGTGTGTGTGTGTGTGTGTGTGTGTATGCATGTACATATCAGCCTCTTACATAAATACTTTAATTTCCAGCAACATGCTAACTTGAAGCAGGGCCTGCCTGTGACAGCTCATAGGTGGTAGTTTTGCTGTAGCACAAAAGTTAGCCTGAGGTAAGCAAGTGAATTCTCAATCACAATAATTATTCATATTGACAAAGTATTTGTTGATCACATGCTCCATTCAAGCAGCTCAGACAAATGATATCTGTGCATGAATGTTAGAGCCAGAACAAAGATTCTCCCAATGGAGCTGACAAAAGAGAGCTCTTCAGTTAAGTCTCTGAATTCGAGCAACAATGCACAGAGAGCATGAAATGCTAAACAGGAAGGTCAAGACAAATAACTTGAGATTAATCTAGAACCAATAGATTGAACCTATAGTGCAAATTTTGAAAGTCACTATCTAATTGGATCTCTGCTTGCAAAAATTGACTGAGATTAAGATGATTCTGACAGCTGAGGTGGGGGTCCCTAAAATTGAATTTGCTTGAATCATGAGGATTTTTCTGTTGCGTCCAATAAATGATCTTTCCCCCAAATAGAACTTCTGTTGGGTCTTCACTCTGTAACCTCAGGTGTATACATTTTCATGGGGTTCTCCTGCCACTCTGGCAAATGGGCCAGGCTTTCGGCCACATCATTTTGTACAGGCCAGCCCCAGGCTTCAAAAAAAGGGGCCAGGTTCTTCTGCACCACCTCAGAGAATTTCTTCACCCACAGATTCATCTTGCTCTCATTGTCTCTGGGGAGGTCAGGGAGGACTTGGTAGTCAGCAAAGGTCTGGATGAATGGTTCCCACCCGAAGCCCTCCTGGAGCTGGAAAGAAAAAGAAATAGCAGAGTTACATATGCAGCCTGCAAGTCACCTCCTGAACACATGCGTGAAACCACATTGTCTTTTAGTTAGGAGCTGCTGTGTTGATGTAGTTTGTCAGTGGGTCTCTCACTCCTTTTCCTCTAGAAGCCTATCCCTGTGGCTGGTGCCGTATGTCATCTTGTACAGCTCAGCACTGGAGATAGACGTCTGGGACTGTCCTGCTTTTGATTTAGAAAGGAAAGATCGTTGGCTCACCATCTACGAATCTGTGACCCTTAGGAACTAACAGCCTTGAACAATAGTTACAGCTTTTCTAGCACCAGCTGGCCCCTTCATTCTTGCTCAACCGTAATCACTGCCTAGGCCATCCACAGACGTTTTACACTACCTATGACCAACTGTCCTTGAAGGTCCGTCTGGGTTTGGGAGCTGTGCTGAGCAACAAAGGCAGAGGCAGGCGCTTAGGCAAATAAGTGGAGCATGCGCATTAGACCATGGAGCAGGGAATCAATATCACAAAGAAAAATAGTAAAGGGAGGCTTCCTGGGAGCACCAGAGAAGCAGATATAAAAAAGCTAAATGGGTGTTTCTTGATATATAAAGGAGACAAAACTGCTTCGGGTAGGGAAAAAATCATTAGTAAATGCCAGCACCGTTCTGAGGAACAGTGAGAACTGGAACTGGGTGGTGGCTGTTTGGTGCTGTACCTGGAGCAGAGGAGCTACTGTGAGTTTTGGTTTATAGTGTTTTCTGGCAGCAAGCACCCTGCAAGATAGGTCCATTTGGGATCAGTTTGGAGAGAGGGAGACTGCTGGGAGAGTACTGGAGAACAGGAATGAAAGGTACTGGAGAACTGAGTTTCGCTTGTGGTGTTGCATGTGGAACACCTATAACGGCAGGAGGCCGCTACCCGGCCAGCAATTCCGTCTCAGACTCCAGAGGGACAGTCTGTCTCCCAGAGGCTTTGATGTGAACTTGAATGACAAGGTTTTGACTGACACTATGACTGGGTCCTGTTGATTTTCAGACAGATTACCTATTAAGAAGGAAGCTGGTGTGGTCTAGAAGTTACCTCAGACTAATTGAAATCACAAAGGCAGTGAAAACCCAGAAACAGAGTGCTGTCACTCCCAAAGCATTGAAAGTAGGCTCTAGGTTTGCCTTTCCTAGTTAATTAGGTCAAGAGCCAGCTGTTCATCTCTGTTACCCTGGAAGTTTGAGCATGTTTTAGTATGGCTATGAGAATATTTTTTCAATGTATATCCCACAGGTGGTGAAGACTTAGAAGGGAAGGATTTTGAAATGCTGTAAAATACTGCACATTACTTATTTTACAATGACTCCTGACTTCATTTACGTTTGAAGCTTGCTTAAGACAGCATTTTCAATAGCTTGTTACCAGGTTGCTGTCCCTATGACCCACCTTCATAATACATTGTTGGAGTGGGGTAACACTAACTTCTCCTAAGCTAAGAGGTCAGGAGAAACTATATGCATTTGGCAAAGCTGAGTTTCACTGAAGATTTTCCAAGTATAGCCATGCAGTCACACTGTGTTTCCCTTAGTAGTCCCACACCTATTTATTTCCAGTTGTGTGGTAGAGAGGGGAAACACATGTTATCCACATCAGATGTACCATGCCCAATTCACAGCAAGGTGCCACCCTCTGCTTCTCTCCCCTACCCAGGAAGGACATATACTGTCTATGGTTCTTGGGATAACTGGAAAGTCTGATGGCTCCCACATTCCTGAATATCTGCTCAGTACCTGGAGATAAGTCTCTAGAGCTGTCCATACCACCCAGTTACTCAGGGGTGCTCCCTTGTCCAGGTGATTTTTGATCCTCTGCTTCCGAAGTTCAGGTTTCAGAGAAGGGTGGACCTGATCCCTGTGGATGTTTAGAACAGTCTCATGCACATAAATAGACCAGAGGTTACACAAAGCTTCAGTGGTGTGAGGTCGGAAATGCCATCTACCCTTCTGTTGGTTGTGGCCCAGCTCGTGCATCACACCCCAAATACCATGTGACCTTATTAGGATCTCATCAATGATGCCTTCTGCGATACTTATGTTGCCCATGATGGGGTATCCAGAATGAAGATAACCTGAGGAAAATAACAGGGGATAATCGAGGAGGTGGCTTGGGTCATGTCTTTCTGTAGACTACTTCTCCACCATCCCAGAAGCCCTAGAATACACCGAGTAAGCTCACTCTGACTCTACCCACTACCTAAGCTTATTTGCAGCACACCAGACTTTCTTTTTTTCTTGGACAGAATTTGACACCCACCTGCGTTTCCCTGTGAAGGGAAGTTTATGGAATATAATGCTGACTGGCATCATCCATTATTTCCTCTAATTTTAGATGGGTGACACATGCGTGTCTGTGTCTAGGTGTCCAACACTGAGGCGAAACAGTAAGGTTCTCCTCCAGTTTAGTCTTAATCGTAAGGAATCATTTTGAAAGTATGCAGATGGCAATTAGTTTTCCCATTGCTCCTCCCACACCTGTTACTTCTCCTGTCTTATTCCGCGTTAACAAGTCCTCTTGACTCTGCTGAAACCTACTGAGTGCACATCTCTTGTCTTTTCTCTTCCTCAACATTGACCGCAATTATCTACCACGGGAACAATTGTAAAACATCCACAGATTTCACTTCTCATTTCTGTAATGCTTTGCATTTTTGAGATGAAATGATGATGGTCTATGTTCTCCGCTGATCTCTATAAAATGACGTCAGTTCAGTTCAACTGAAGCTCAACCCTCAGAGCACTCATATGGAGGACCTACCAAGTGAGATCTGCTTGTCAAGTACAACCCTCTCAGGCCTTTGCAAAGGGAAGGGCACGCCTGCCAGCTTAGCTACAGCCTGCACCATCTCATCCCAGAGTTGGAGCAGTGGGTATGGGTCCCGAAGGATCTTCAGGTATTCCTTTGGGATGGTCAGGATAATATTGTCTGTGGCTAGTTCTCCCCAGGGAGCTTCACTGTACTTAGTAAGATTCTTCCATTCCTCCTGGGTCGTCTTGCCTGGAAATAAAGATTACATACCATGTTTTTTTGTTTTTTGGTTTTTTTTTTTTTTTTTTTTTTTTTGGATTGCAACTGTAGCCCTTCAAGTGTGGATCACACAGACAGATAACTTGGTAATAAATCTCCTTTTTGTCTTTCCTTGTCGTCCTTTTAGACCTCCTTGAAGAGGGTGTTCATATTTCTTACCCCCCCCTTTCTGTCTTGTGACTCACCTTTCCCTAAACACTCCATTGGTGTCTCTCAAGCCAGGACCCTTGTCTCGCTCCCGTTTTCCTTCTGCTCTATGCCCATTATGAAACAGGGTCTCCTGCTCACCTATCCTGAAATATGGAGCAGACACAGCCCCACTGATGGTGACAGACACATCATCCCGATTGTACTTGTGGGGAACGATGATGTAGAGAAGCCCTCCATAGAGCCAGGAGATGGTCTTCTGGGATGAGTTTAAGTGGTAAATGTACGTCATCACAGGAGGACGGTAGTAAGTCTTTGCTTCACTTATGTTGTCTGTGTGGCAACCAATGAGGACCTGTCATAGAAAGCATAAGTCATCATGAGAATGGCAGAACCACACCTCTTCTGTGTATGTGTATGTGTGTGTATGTGTATATGTGTATGTGTATATGTATGTGTATGTGTATGCATGTATGTGTGTGTATGTATATGTGTGTGTATGTGTGTATGTATGTGTGTGTATGTATATGTGTATATGTGTGTGTATGTGTGTGTATGTATATGTGTGTGTATGTGTATGTGTATATAAGAGGCCTGGGAGAGGTGGCAAGAGACCCTCAGAATGACAAGGGTCATGTTCTTAAGTAGAATATTTCCACTACTTAGGCACTTTCTCTAGGGCACCCTTACTTGTTTGTAATCATTCTTTGTTCTCTGTAGAGTTTGGGGATTAAAAAAAGTTAAATAAAACTAGTTCCAAGGTAAACATTGACTCAGAGAGCACACTGCCTCCCTCTCTGCCATTTCCTTTGGGCCTCCACAAGTGAGCACTGTGTAAATGCTTTATGGAGTTGAAGCTTGGAAAACACTTTGATAGTATTTCAGATACTCCAAGAAAGAAGACCAATGAGAGAAGCTTTGACAGTTGGCACAAGACAGAGAGGTCAGTGGTAGCGCATTGCTAAGCATCTGTGACTGCTGAGATTTAGCTTCATAACGACTACTGTCTGCATCTATAAAAAGGAGGGACTTTTCTGACCTATATGCCTGGTGAGGTTGTTGGGAGAATCTAAAATGTTACTGAAGAGAGGCAGGAGGATCTCTGTAAGTTCGAGGCTGCCTGGCCTACACAGCTAGTTCCAGAATGGCCAGGGCTACTGTAGAGAGACCCCCTCTCAAATAAACAAATCACTAGAAGAGAATGTAAAGCTACTATGGACATGTCAAAAATTCACTTACTAGGGAGCCAAATGCTTTACCTTCAGCTTGGCATTAGTCGCATCACTGGGAAGTGTTATTTGTGCAACTTGACCTTCAGGCAAGTAGAGTCCAGTGCTCACCCAGGAATTGCGGTTGTCTATGAGAGTCATAAGGAAGGTTGTTGTCTTTCCGTTCATGATTTCACCTTCACCGAGAATCCCGACCCCACCAACAGAGCTACAGGGGCTCCCAAACCATCCTTTAACCACCCAAGCTGCCTGTGTTCCTAAAATTCCCTTCTTAAAAGTTAATAGAAAAGACAGAAAATGGACTTTTCAGAAGAAAGCCCTATGCAGCAATGCTGACACCAGCCAGCCCCCTGATTCTCTAGTCCTGAATGCCCAAAGGTCCCCTCTCCATTCCTTACCTGTGCTGATTTTAATAACCATGGGAGATTCCGTGGGAGGCAGTAAGGAGGGAGGAGGAAGTAGCTGAGAGACGTCAACTCCAGATTTGAATAATTCGTAAGCCAGGGAAAGCAGAAAGGCCTGAGAGCTGCCATTTAAGATTGGGTGTTCCTCACTCATACTTGGGAAGCCCTCGTTTTGGATGAGTTTTAGAGCATGCTCCTTCACAGAGTCATAGATAGAAACTCTCTGATGTGTCATTTGAAACATGTAGGAACAGTCTTTCACGAGCTTCTTCAGCCATCTTTCTTGTAATATGTTCTTCTGGCCGTAGATCATGGACTCAAATTGGGCCAGAGCTTTACGGATGTGGTAGTCTATCACCTGAGGATTTGGGACTGGGAAGGAACCGTTTTTGACTGCCTTGCTTATGATGCCAAGGCCAAAGCATTTAAGGATGATGTTATTTGGGTATTGAGTCATACAGTCAGAGCCTGGGTTCCTTTGGCCCCATAAACTGGCCTCTGCACCAATCAGCAAGCCTCCACCTTCTGCAACAAATTCTTCTACTTTCTTGGGATCTATATTGGTGAATGAGCAGCAGCAAAAGACACTCAAATCACTGGTCAGATGTTCTGTTTCGCTCCACTGGAAGCTGCCATTTGGTAACATAGACTTGAGTGCTTTCATTTCTGAAGCCAACCCAATCCTGCCTGTTTGAGACCCCATCAGCCAGTGCAAGGCATTGAGTACAAATGGCAGCATTGCTTCACTAAGCATCAAACTCTCATGTCCCCCCAACACCACACGACCGTGCCCATAGCGGGCAGCTGCAAGAAAGCAGTTGAATGAATTGTCTACTCCCAAGGGAAAGGCCCGCTGCCCATGTACCAGCAGCTGGGAGGGGAGTGCCTCTCTCTCAATGTCCATCTCAGACATCCCTTCCAGAAGCTGCTGCTGGTCATACTTGATCTCATCCTCACACCTGGAAAGAGACAGTTCTCACGTCAGTGAAGAGGAATGAGTATAGGTTAGGGCAGCAGAGATCATCCAGGACCTCAGTTCTTTTGGTACAAAACCTTCTACGTTATCTTTAATCACACCATTCAGGGGTCAGAGGCAGGCAGATCTCTCACACAGAGACCTCCTGATCTACAAAGCAAGTTCCAGGACAGCCAGGGCTGTTACATAGAAAAACCCTGTATTGAAAAAGAAACAAATGAAAAAAAAAAGAGTGAACTAAAGAGAGGTAAATCTCACTTTGATGCATCTTCAAATCAGTTTTAACTGGGAGCTCTTAGCATGACAAGACCTCTATCTATCACAGGATGAAACCTGACATATACATAGAAACCATTCTAGTGAAATTTCCCAGAGGACTGCTGCCTATTCCAATATTTAAGTTGTATCTTGATATCATCACCAATATCAAGTAAATTGTGTGTGTAAACAGCCTGTCTTTGGGCATGAGTCATGGTGGTAGAACCCTCACCACACTTGTGCAAAGCCTTGGTTTGCAACCCCAATACTGGAAAAAACAGAAACAGCAACAACAACAAAATAAATTTAAGTGGATGAAACTGGAAAGCGGAAATGGTCGTGCTGAAGGAGATAAACCAGGCTCACAAACTTTACGTATTTCCTCTCATATGCAGAGTTTTTAAAGAAATGATGTAAAAGTATAAGGGGGGTTATTTAGGAAGAGGGCCAGTGGAGACAATGAATCCAGGAGAGGGTGACCAGATGATTATGAGGAACCTATATGAGAGGCATGTGCGAGCTATCATAAGGCCATCCATCATTTTGCACCATGAATATAAGCTAATAACAAGGGGGAAATAACGGGGATAGACAGAAAGGGAAGGGAGACTGAAAAGGAGGTGATGGGAGGGGCAGGAAAGGGAAGGAAACAAAGGAAAGAACAAAACTGAAGAAACTGATTTCTGAAGATATATGTATATATCACCAAAAACAACACAAAAACCCCACAGACAAAAACAAGCAAAAGCTTTAGGCTACTGAACAAAAGGTGGGAGAAAATATTTGCAACATGTAAAAAAGACAATCGGTTTCTGCAATGCTGGAAGGACAGTTAGCAATCATTGGAAGTTAAGTAGAAAAACTGAAGAGCAGACATCTCAAGGAAGAAGTATGAATTGTTACAAATATTTAAAAAATCTGCTTTGGCAATCAGGAAACAGAAATGAATAAAGTTTCCTTATTCCATAGTGATGATATACTAAACAAAAACTTGTAATATTCAGTACTAGTACTAGTATGGGCTATATTTCACTATAAGTTAACATGGCCTTTTAAAATGACAGTTTTCAATTTCAAAGGACAATTCCTAACAAATATTTGTAATCAGGCCTTTGCCTGATTAGACTAGGTGTAAAAACTTGTGTGTGATGAGCTCTAGACACTCATGTGGAAACTTTAACAAGTATTGATAATAACTCAGACTTCTGCTCTTCTGTATCATGCTATAGCTACTCTCTCTCTCTCTCTCCTCTCTCTCTCTCTCTCTCTCTCTCTCTCTCCTTTTCAGACAGGGTTTCTCTGTATATCCCTGGCTGTGCTGAAACTCACTCTACCAGGCTGGCCTTGAACTTAGAAGTCTACCTGTTTTTGCATCTCAAGTGCTGGGATTAAAGGTATGTGTCACCACCACCCAACTCTGTAGTTACTCTTAATGGAATCTTTTTAGAATGAAAAGAGTCAGAGAGTTAATCCAATCCCATAGTCAAGGGAAGCCAGCCATGTGTCCCATTTTTATCTAATCTTTATGAAGATTCTTCCTCTACTAGGGAAGAAGATGCTAGGGCTGCCTGCAGCTGTCTCTCCAGGCTTTCGCACTTTTAGCTCGGATATCACCCTTCCCTCATAGTCCTACTTTGCTACAGGAGAGAGGTTCCTGAATGTAGAGCTACACAGTTTGTTCACGTCACATTTTCCTTGCTAGCCCTGGAGTAGATTGACATTGTGTTTGATCGATCAATCGATTGATTGATTGATTGATTGATTGATTCATTCATTCATTCATTCATTCATTCATTCATTCATGTTTAGTCCCTACTCAGAATGCCAGGCCTTGCATGATATTCAAAAAATAAAATGATAAGCAAAAAAAAGACATAATTCAGTTTTTAAACTTCTCTCTGTGTGAGGGAACATGTGCACCTATGCTTGTTTACTTGCGTGTGTACTCACATCTGTGTGTAGATGTGAATTTATGTGTGTGCATGCCCGTGGTGACCTGAGTCTGGTGTTTAGAAGTCTTCCTTGATCACTCACCTCTTTATCTATTGATGTTGGATCTCTCGATTGAACCCAGAGATTACCTGTTCAGGTAGCCTACAAAGCCAGCTTCCTCCAGGGACCTTTGTCTCTATCTCCCACAAACTGGATTATTGTATGGTCTCCATGCCAACCTAGCATTTCTGTGGGTTCTGGACATCTAATTCTGGTCCTCACACTGCTTAGCAAGTACTTTTCCTTCTCAGCCATCTCCCCAGACATGAACAAACACAATTTATTTGTCATATATTTTGTTGACCTTTTTTGTACTTACCTTCAAGTTGCAACCACTCCTTTATAATTACTTATGATGAGGAGACTCAGTAGTAAATACAAATATCCCAACCCCAAGGTATTTAATAGCAAGTCTATACTAGAGAACAGAAGATGGTGTTGCTTAGCTACTGTGGTGGTGTGTATAGGAATGGCCCCCCATGGACTTATATATTTGAATGCTTGGTTACCAGGAAGTGGCACTATTAGGAAATGTGGCCTTGTTGGCGGAAGTGTGACAAGGGGGGTGGGCTTTCAGATTTCAAAAGTTCAATCCAGGCTCTCTCTCCCCCCCCTCTCTCTCTCCCTCTCTCTTTCTTTCTCTCTCCCTCTCTCTCTCCTGCCTGCCCGTCTAGATGTAGAACTCTTGTCTCCTTCTACAGCATCATGTTTGCCTGTGTGCCACTCGCTACGCTTCCCACCACGATGATAACAGACTTAACATCCCTAATTAGGTGTTTTCCTTTATGTGTTGTGGTGGCCCTGGTGTCTCTTCACAGTATTAGAACACTTAGAAAACTGCCATAGGTGATAATGAAATTAGTATTTATAATTATTTCCCTCTGTGATAACCAACTTATTCACTGTTATGCTGAAAGCTCCTTTTGGGTAGGGTAATTGAACTGATACTTAAAAAGAAAGGGAAACATCACTTACTTGACATAAAGTGTGAGATTGGGTACCTCTTTAGAGACCTCAAACGAGTCTCTATTCCCATAGACGTCTGTGAAGTACACTCCAGCCACACTTGTCACCTGGTTCCCAGGGAAACTGGACAGCACCTTGTCATGGCCATGTTGACTGGCCCAGTAGCAGGCCTGGCCCCCAATGAGCAAGCCCCCACCACGCTTCACAAACCGGACCAGCTTCTCAGTCAAGGTGTCATTGTTGGCATCAGTGCAGTAAACACCCAGAGTCTCTCCAGGTTGTGGCTGAACCAGGGCCTCTAGACCAGAGTTACTTAGGATGTTACCTAGTGAGGCCAAGGAGGAATGCACTACAATGGGAGCCTCTGGGGACGGGCAGAGCCACCTCACTGCATTGAGAAGAAACGGGGCCAAGCCTGCATGCAGCAGGTATCTCTCATGGGATATGACCACCAGGCGGCCTTGGCCATAGGAAGAGGCAGCAATGAGCACCTGTCCCTTGTCATTGACCATCACTGGGAAGGTGGCCTCCCCAGTAAGAAGGAGTTCACAAGGAATGGGTTCTTTGGGAAGATCCCAGCTGGTCACTCCATTCATGAGGGCCTCAAAGGCGGCATCAGGAGTTGTTGCCATGGTTCCACCAGCTGCTGCAGAGGACACGGAGACTCCGGATGGTGACTCAATGAACAGGTACTAAATGAATAATGAAAGCAACAAGTATTCTCTAACAAGGTCTTGCACAAGAAAGCTTAAGAAGTTAGAGTACTTACCCCCTCCTCTGACTTCCTCAGAGCTTCACCTTTAGAAAGTATTTTCATCACTCAAGCTATTTCTTGCTGTCTCTTTCCTGACTTCCACCCAGATGCACCCCATGACTCTCTTCCATCATCTTAGCTGTCTTCTAGCTCCATGCTGCCCAAACACTGTCATTACAGCTACTCTTTATCTGTAAGATCGCCATGGCTTACCTCAGCCCAGACTTTCTTAGTGCAATAGATCTTTTGTTTTGCTAATCATATTACAGTTATCAGCCCCAATTCTTATTTGTGAGGAACAGAGCTCATCTTTACTTCCTCAGAAGAGCAAACATTTGAGCTTCTTTCTTTCCGTGTAAAGAAGATACTATCAACCTTGAGAGGTTTGGTGTAGAGGTTGATGTGTTTAGAGACTGGCATATGCGTCCATCAGAAGCTGACTCCCATGTGTTCATCACGCTCCTCAGTCACTCAGGATGATGGGGGCAGCACAGGTTTGGAATCAGGTTTGCCCTCTTCTTTTCTCCACTTCAAACACCCCATTATCAAAATTTGTAATTGGTGCCTCTAGTCTGTTCCAGGACCTTAATTAAGACTTCAGGCTTGGTCTATACCAGTTGTCACATGAGCTCTCCTGGTAAGAAACCCTCATGCTGGTGAGTTTTTTACTGTTGAGACAACCTAGATCTACCAGGGAAAAGAATCTCACTCAGGGATTGTCCTGATTCTATTCTATTCTCAATAAAGACTCTATTTTTTTTTAAAAAAAAATATGAGAATCGGACTTTAGATTTTTAGTCTGCAACAGTTCATCTACTGCAAACTGCCATTTTTCTTCTCCCTGCTTTTTCTGTTTTCCAATCCTCAATTACTAAGAGAAGACGGCTGACAAAGCTTCTTTCTGCCTTTATTCTGAGCACAGAAACTTATTCATAGAAAGCACAGGGTACAGGATCTTTAGATGTAAAACATGGCTTTGGTTCATTTTGAAGTCAGATTGTGAGCAGGTATTGTTATAGGAACAACATGACTTCCCAGTGAGAGATCCTTCCACACACTTAGAGATGAAGGGAAAGCTCTTTGCTAAAATGCCTAGATGGCTGGGGCTGAGGACCAAATAAGAGGTAGGCCTGAACAGAAGGCTTTACTGACATATACAATGTAGGCTTATGCATTCCCCAAACACTGTCATCTTTAAATCTCTTTTGTCCTGGCCCCAGGACTTTGAACACTTTGAACAATTTAAACAGAGACAGGAGACTGTAAGTCTGGCTGCTTAGGCAGATAGGAGATTTACACAGCAAAGCTGTGGCCAGAGTTGTTTCTTAAGTATACCTGTGTTGCTCTTTCGAAGAGTTGTTACCCAGGGTCATCTTGCTTGACTGGCAGAGTTATGTTTTTCCTGATAAGAGCACAGGGGACTTAATGGCAAACTAGACTTAATGATGGCTGTGGCCCTGCTGCCCCTCTTGGGCTGCCCTTAGAGGTATGACTTTGGGGATGGGCAAAATGGCTGCTTGTAAGCAGGGCTACTTCTTTGTTATAGTCATGGAGCCTAATGATAGGTGAATAAATGTGTAAATCCTGGCAATCTAAGTTTCTCTTATCTCTAACAGGCCTAGTTAGCCGACTATTCTTCTTTGGGGCATTTTGGAGGTGATGCTCCTTAGCCTAAATTCTCCTTGTGTGACCTAATGCTTCATAAATGAATCTATTAGAAAACATCCTTTTTTAACTGTGGTTCTCAACCTTTTGTCAAACCTCCATCTCTATAAATATTTATATTATGATTCCATAACAGTGGTAAAGTTACAGTTATGAAGAAGTAATGAAATAATTTTATGGCTGGAGAGTCACCACAACATGAAGGGTATTAAAGGGTCACAGCACTGAGAAGATGGAGAACCACTGCTGTGGAGTATCAATTTTATTATTTTGAGTTTCTTTGGTATCCATACAGCACTGAGAGGCTTTCCCAGTTGACTGTGCAGCCTAAGTGCATGGTACCTTTCCAGATAGCAAGGTTGTTGAAGAGTGAGCTATGTTCATTTTGAAAAGCAAGAAAGCTAGGCAAGACACTTCAATCCAGCACCAGCTCAGCCTGTCAGCTACTGGTTTTCAGACAGTTAAAAGACCAGCTTACCACACGCAAATTTCAGGAATGAACAGGTGAAGCACACTACCCTCTGTGTAGCTGCAGATTAGCCAATACTCTGCTTAGCACATGGGTTCTTTTTTCTGTTATTAAGGTAGCCAGAGACAAATGCAAAGAAACCTTTACTTGGACAAAGAAATGGATAGTTTAATTTTTAAAAAAATATTTACTTTTATTTTATGTGCATTGATGTTTTGCTTGCCTGTATGTCTGTGTAAGGGTATCATATCTTGGAATTACAGGCAGTTGGGAGCTGCCATGTGGGTGCTGGGAATTGAACCTGGAGCTCTAGAAGAGCAGGTAAGACTCTTAATTGCTGAGCCATCTTTCCAGTCCAGCATTAGACAGTTTCAATCAACAAATTCTAGAAGGAATACTGATAACACTGAACATCCAGTTCTGGAACATCATTCCAGAAGCAAGGATAAGTATTCAGAGAGAGGTTTAAAAACTCATCTGCTGTCTTAGCTTGAATGGGGAAGGTTATTGTTTGGCTCCTCGGGTTATAGGAGATCTTATCAGAAATTCTAGGTGTGGTAGAACCAGTCCAGAACTGAGGGAGAGAGAGAGAGAGAGAGAGAGAGAGAGAGAGAGAGAGAGAAGATGCTGCCAGCCACCTAATGAAAAGGCACAGGAGGCCATGCAAAGGGTAGCTGTTCTATGGGATCTGCTAGCGTCAGCAATGTGTAATTACATAAGGGGTGAGGAGTAGGCATCTTGGGTGAAGACTTGCGTTAAGGGCACAGCACAAATCCCTGTTCAGAGTTTAATTAGCAGGATGGGCAAGATGGCTCACTGAGTTAAGGTGCTTGCCATTAGGCCTGACAACCTGAGTGTGGTACCCAGAAACCACATGGTGGAGAGAACTGACTCCCCAGAGCTGTCCTCTGATTTCCCCATCTCTCTCTCTCTCTCTCTCTCTCTCTCTCTCTCTCTCTCTCTCTCTCTCTCTCTCTCCTTCCTTCTCTGTTATCTCCTCCCCTCCCCTTTTTACAGCAAGCTCTCTCACCCAGGCCGTCCTCAACTCAATAACTGATGATGGCCTTGAATTCCTGATCCTCCCACCTTCACTTCCTGAGCCCCGACATTACAGACACGGAGCACTACATCCAGTCTTGCAGTGCTGAAGATCAAACCAGGGATTCATGCATTCGAGCCACACAGTTTATCAACTGAGCCCAAGCCCAACACTTACGCCTTTTACTAATACAAGGGCCCAAGGCCACACCATCGTTCTGTGTTTGAGTAGCGCCCCCCCCCCAGAACTTACATTGAAATTGATTGCTAATGTAATATTAGTGGGCCTTTAACAGGTAATTGGGTCTTCAAGAGGGATTTATGCCTTTTTCTAGGAACCCAGTTCATTCTTGCAGGAATGAAGCATTCTCTCTAGGGTCTGGATGGGCCCTGAGAGGATGGGTTTGCATAACGTGAGGCTTCTCCTCATACTCCCCCCACCACCTTCCCTCTTTCCAGTATGAGGTAAAACAACACAAGACCCTTATCAGTGTGGCTGCTGGATCTTGGGTTCTGCAACCTCCAAATCTGTGAACCCAAATTAGCATATTTTCTTTATAAACCACACTTTTAAGGGTACTTTTAATTTTTTTTTTTTACAGCAGCAGAGAACATAATAAACCATAGTGTAACTGCAAGCCCAACGTACAGTTCTCAACTCTAAAATGCCTACATTTGAGCAAGGGCCACATCACTTACCTGGATGTCTTCTGACTGTCACTTGGGTCTCCTGAGGAGAAGAGATGTCCGTGTGGACTTAGGGTGGATGATCTGAAGATTCCATACATAAGAAAGGAGATAAGATCACTTTTCAGGAGTATCCTTCTTCCTGCTTCCTCTTGGAAGTGTGGTGCTTGGCTTGGAGATGTCTGTAAACCTCTAAGAGACACTGAGTCTGTACTTCTTGAGTCTGTGAGTCATTTCTTGAGGACTCTGTGTCTGTTACCCTTGTTGAAATGACATGAACTCTGAGATCTTCCAGCCTCTTCAGCTGCAACAGTAGCTAGCTCCAGGAATCAGCTCTTTCCTCTCTAAGTTAGTCTTTTCTTGGGGTAAGCAATGGGGTCTCTCAAAGCTTCCATAATCTTCAGGAACAAACCAGGAGTGTTTGCTTTAACCATCAACTTGACACAACTGTGAATCATCCAGGGAGAGTCTCAATAAAGGATCGTGCCCATTGGGTTGGCCTGTGGTCATGTCTATGGAGGATTGTCCTAATGAAGTTAATTGGAATATCCAGAGCACTGTGGGTAGTACCGTTCCTTGGGCAGTGCGTTCTGAACTTTTAAAGAATAGAGAAAATGAGCTGAGTATGAGCAAGCATGCATCGGTTCTCCCTCTGCTCTTGACTGTAGATGTGATTAACTCTTCAAGTTCCTGTTACTTTGGCTTCCTCCCTGGACTGCAACCTGAATTAGTGAGAGAAATAAAATCTTTTTGCTCCTAAGTTCCCAAATAAAACTACGACAATGGGTAAATAAAGTAGACTATGATGCCTGAGTGAGGCAAAGGCTTTAAAAATATGAACGAAAGCAGTGAGATCTGTAATCAACTGTGGTCAAATCCCATTGAAGAATTTCCTCAGGAAACTCATCTCTCTTTTTGATCTTCATTTAGGAAACTAGAATATCACTACTAGCCAGATGGGACCAACTGGGGAATTGTTAGTTGTGTGACTGTCACTGTGATGAGAGGCACAAAGCAAT